CAAAGAGGAAAATTTATTTTCGTAACGTATCGTATAGCAATACCTACCTACTGTCCAAACAATTTGTTAAACAAAGGATATAGTTTCTGTTTTTTTTATTTCAGCTATTATTCCACTAGTAACATTGAGTATGTTAGCGCACTCGTTACACTCGTTACTCTCTCAGAGATGAGATATTTTCCCGCAGTAAAAAGTATTCTATATGTTGGCCTGGATACTTAGCTATTATCATACCAAATTTCATCAAAATCTGTCCAGTGGCTTTCTTGTGATGCGTGTAATTAGAATTTTATTAGATGTACCTATAGACTTTACATTTTGGCTCTACGTGCTATATAAAGCGCTACTATATTTCAATTTGATTAGTTAAGTAGATCCCTTAAGGTCATACAATATATATATATATATATATATATATATATATATGTCGTGATAGTTATACCATTTATAACTCAAGAACGGCTGGAGCAATTTTTATGATATTTGATTTTTTGGATTTCTCTTAGTCCGGAATAGGATAATAAGTATTAAAGCATCAGAAAAATTAACGAAAAAATATACTTATATGGCTAACGGTGGCTAATAACTATTTATATTTTTTTTTTAATTTCAGCTTTTCCAGCTGTAAATTTAACACTGTAAATACTAAAAATAGTATATAAATAATAATAATCAAACAAATTCTTTGTGTGCCGCTTCACTTCTTACGTTTCTTTCTATATTTATGTCTGCAAATCGTCACAAGTCCATTTTTACGATCAATAGTTTTGGTAAGTAAATAAATCAAAAGATTGCGTATTTACGGCCGCGGGTAGTTTTATATTGACCGGTTGGCAGAGCGCCATTTTGTTTCGTTTTATATTTGTTTGTTGTTCCACCTTTTGACTTTGAGGAAAATTCAAGAAGGGCTCTTCAATTTCCTTTGTATGACAGTGTTTGGTCTACTTAAACATTATTTAAATTTAGGTTAAGGAGATGGAACATTAAGACTTTTTTTTTATTATTTACAGTTAGCTCTATATTTTATTAGCATATCTATACTTATAGAAAAAGTGTAACTGATTGCTGTCTGTACGAGGAAGATATTTGAGAAAAACTTTCATTGGGTGTCTTTATTTACGCAATAGAACCCAAAACAATGATTTTTTGAATTTTTGTCTGTTTGTCGGTTTGTCTGTATGTTTGTGCGCGCTAATCTCAGGAATGGCTGAACCGATTTGGATGCGGTTTTCGATAATATATTGTGGTAAGCTTTACTTAATATTTTATATTTGTTTTATTTCAATCGGTTTATAAATAAAAAAGTTACGTTAATTTAAAGAAACACCTAACGACAAACCCGAGCGGAGCGTGAGTGAGTCGTTAGTACTTTACTACATGTATACTTTACTGCGCTTCTCTTAGACGTGTTTCCCCAAAAAATGCTGAATTTATCTTCTAAGTTCTCTGTACTATTCAGCGAATAACTTCGCAAATTGCATATTATTCGTACTTTTATACTTCGTTATAATATGACCTGTGAAGCTTTAAACAAGAATTGAACACATTTTATAGTGGTCGATGTCATTGACCGCACCAAATACTTAGCAAGTGCGAATAAAGTGAGAGCAACTGTTAGTAAATAAAATATTTAAAGCATTGGGTAAGCTCGGTTTGACCTGAAATCTAGAAATTGATTTGAGATCTAATCCTACACCTCCACTTTTTAATATCTGTGACATATCTAGGTTTGTGGTCGAATGATCTGCACATATCGAATTTCTTGATACTTTGTTTATTTTAATATTGCAATACTATTTGGTATCTTTTAGGCTCTATATGAAGTAACAAAATAATCAAATAAAAACTTTATGGTTATTCGTTGTGTAACTAAAATTACTGTTTCTAAAACAAAAGTAGTCTTTTTTCAGTCAAAGATGTCTTCTTCTTCAAAAAGAGTTTTTTTTTGTATATATTATTAGTATATTAAACTTACCACTTTAAATACCTAATTCTTTTTTACAGGTTTTCAAAAGTGGTAATCTAAATTTTTTTGGAAAGATTACACTCGTGTAAAGTGATTCTAAAGTCAATGGGGTTTTATTGTAAAATTGTATATTTTTGTTTGAAAAACGTTATTTATCTGAATGATTTAGTTTTAATTTTACATGTTTGTCAGGTTTTATATATGAGAATAGTAGATATTCACAAAGTTGAATTTAAATTTCAAAAAGACAAAGAGAATCTTTAAGATGGTATTTCACTGTCTAGCTCTTTGAATTTTTATCTGCGATAGTAATTAGGAATATGTAAGTACACTACGTACTGTTTGCAGCTCTGCGCCTTATTGAAATTGTATTTAGCCTATCTCTACTACTGCCATCTGACTGCTGCTTTATATGCTAGTGAAAAGAATATAATATTTAATTTATATCCTTATGCTCGACCAATTATGTATTATCTGTACAATAAAAAATCTTTATAAAGAGTGGCTAAAAATTGTAAAATCTTGTAATTTGACTTCTCCTGCTTCAGTTCGTGAACTGTTCCAAAAATTAAAAAATATATATTTTACAATGATGTTGTTAATAATATTAATATTGCAAATGGTGCATTTGTTTAGAAATAAATTCAGTGTTAAAGATTGACGCATGCATTGCCCTATAGGGTTCTTATCCGGAGTGCACAGACGACAGCGGATAAAGAAATTAAGTAATGTTTGTCATTCACTTGTCGAGATGTTCCTTCTATCCCGAACAAACATAATATAACGGAAGCAAATCACCCTAGATTTAATTTCAAATACACGATTGTACTCAGACGTACTGATATTACTTCTCCTCAATACGTACAGATCGCAATATAAACCTCAACCTATAAATTTTTTATGACTTAAAACAATTTTTTTTTATTACAATTTTGTTAAATTCCTCAGAGAGCTGCTTTCTATTGGAGCATCAATTTCGAATACAAATCCGTAGTAATAATATGCTGCATAGTCGAAGTTTTAAAAATAATTTACGGTTCTATGAGATCTGATGTAGGTAGGTACATTCTAAATTCGTAGCTTAAAACTAGTTGCTCGTCATGCTAAGGCTAATGACAAGTTTTTTCAAAGTTTTAGTAGTTCATATATGTATAACTATATTTTAATAAACTAAAGCGTTATTCTAGTGTACAAGCTATATTACTATAAAATTTCATCAAAATCTGTCCAGGATTTTTTGCATGAAGAGTAAAAAAGTCCTTACAAAGTTTTACGTTTAAAATAGACATAAATACTGTCAAGTATTCTATAAAAAATAGTATTTTTTGCGTATGTTCCTTTTATTATAAAAAAATAATTTATTTGGTGTCTGTACTTCGATATTGGATACGGTCGCTTTGTCTTTTAATATAGGAAGCGTCTTTGTGAAGTATGTTCACTAGTGTTGCTTGGCTTTTATTTCTTTTTACTTACACGTCAGCTTGTCGTTTGCAAATAAAAACACTAATATAATTTATTATCTATACATATAATAAAATTGTAACTAAGCCGAATCTGTACATTGAATATTTTTTGGAAAATCTTACAAAGGCCGAATCTATAGTTTTTAGATTTTTTAATTGTCTGTCTGTCTGTTACCGCATCACAGAAAAACCACTGAAGGGATTTTGATGAAACTTGGTATGGTGATAGCTGGTTATCCGGGTCAACATATAGAATACCTAGGTTTTTACCTCGGGAAAATATCTCATTTCTGAGAAAAAATACAAAAACTGCAATGTAAGAGTATACTAATATGTAAAACCTAAGAATTTGGTTTTTGTTCATCTGAACGCGGGCGGGCATTGCTAGTATCTAAATATAATTTACTTATTATTTTATATTTATAAAAGTTGAGAAATACTACCGAGGGATGAACATGTTCTTGTGTTCTAGTTCTATAAAAATGTGAATATATTCCTTTAGAGGTTATATTTTTTTTATTTAAATATTATTAAATTAAGTTAGAAAATCGAATTATAACTTTTTAATGAGAACACTATATATATATATATATATATATATATACAATTATTTTAAGAATAGAGATAATATTTAGTTATTATTTGATCTATTAAATTAGCTAAGTTTTATGAAAACGTAATGAAAAATGAAAAGCAACTAACTATGTAAAAAAAAAACTATAAATGTAAAATTTAAATTGTCGTATATTGAACCTTTCTAAGTGTATATAATTTGATTGACTCTACAATAATTTAGTACCATCGAACTGATCTAATAATAGAGCTGAATGGATAAAGTATCGATTTATAGGTTACGAGTATAGATATTTTTCGATCTTGATTACTTTATCTACAACACTATACTGAGTGACGAGTGTTTGATGATGAATTCAAAATAGTTTTTCTACTTATTAGTTCTCGTTCCTAGTCTTTCCAGAAGACTTTAAATAATGATATTTCTATTGCGCAATTTTTGCCAATTGTAAATCCATTTACATACAAATTACAAAAAAATGAACCTCTTTTAATAAGGAATTTAAGTGTTTGTGAAGTCGATGCATTGTTTTAGTTAAAAAGTAATATTGTTACATTTTTTTTAGTTATAACAAATTTTTATTTGCTAGGATATGAATAGGTATTAGACAAAAAATATTAGAATTGTATCTAATTGAAGTTAAAGTCCTGCGTCTGAATGATTCACGTCCTATTCATCTTATTGGCATATTGGATAAATGTTCATTGCTTCTTAATGAACAACACTAATGGAATGTAGCTTGAGTTTCATCGAGATCTCCGCCGGATGACTTTGTTATTTCTTTGATACTCCGAAGTTGAGATACCCCATTCGAATTTACGTATTTTTTGTGTATATTTTACGAGATATGTTCGTCAAATTTGTACAGATTTTTATTCATTGATATCATCTTGACTTTTATTTGGTGGTCGTATATAAATCTCAAAAAAAATTGTCAGTAAGTCATATAAAAAAGACGGAGTTGAGCTTTTAGGTCTTAAAATTTATGTTACAGTTAGCCTGAATCATCCCAATGCTGGGTCTTCCCTTTAGGTTTCCAGGTTTTATGGTCTTGTGCAAGTATAGTCCAATTTGGATGGAATTTGTCTAGTTCATCCCACCATAACTTCTAAGTTATGGTGGTTCTAAGATTGTGCAATATACTAAGTATTGATAGTGTTAAAGTATTGATACTATTAATGTACTAAAGAATATTTTTTTTAAGAAAAACATATCTCATTTTAGTTGAATCTTACTTATAGACAAACTAGCGACTCACCCTCACTTCGCTCGCGTTGGTCCCTAGGTTGATTCCCCATACAAACTTTCATCCCTATTTGCACCCCCTTAAGGGATGATTTCCAGGATAAAAATCTTATATACTTCCCAGGGTCTCAAAATATCTTCTTACAAAATTTCATCTAAATCGGTTCAGTAGATCAAGAGATTCACAAACTTTACCTCTTTATTATATTAGTATAGAAGTCACTTTGAATTTGGTACAACATTTGAGCGGATTAAATTACAAAAATATTATATAATATGTAAGCTATAAGATTGCTCCAACTGAACTAATTGCAGCACATACCAAAAAAGTTGTATTATATGTTTACGTAAAAAGTTTGTACGGTTAATTTTAATTAAAAATTATGACTTGATAATTAACAGCATTTGATTTGATTATTTAGTTAATTGGAGCTTTGACTATGACTAGCCTTTGACTACAACTTTGCCTCGTATTTTAATTAGCATACAGCAATTTTTAAATGAATATAACGTATACAAATACTATTATTATTCATATAGATTAAAATATGAATAATAAAAGGCAAAATTAAGAACTTCCCGATTTAGGAGTGAGTTAAAAAGTAAAAAAAAAAGTTAAAAGTCAAGCACGTTCCGGATTTAAAAAAAAGTATCGTTGCGTTTTACTAAAATCATGGCATTTCGTGTTTCTTTCATAGAATACAATGAAAAGAACAAATCTTACTTTTGATTGACAAAAACATTGATTGACACTAGTATTCATAAAAAAATATAGAAAACATAGGCAACGTGACAAAAGTCGATTAAATTTTGTAAACAGTCCCTTAAACACTTAGTAATGCAGATAAAAAAAAAAGATCAAACCGATACGGCTGTTTAGATTTGACATCTTTGATAGGGATTTTGTGTTACATCGCATCCAGATGAATGATTTTAAATGAGCGCCATTTGTTATTGCTTAAAAATATTAAAATTACTTTTAAAAGCGAATACGAATAAAAACACTCAGACGGTTCAAATATTATTCTTATAGATAGAGGAAATAGTCTAAGATGTAAAGGCCGTGTTTTACTTAGAAGAGAAGGTACTAGACCAAATTTCATAAAATAATTTTCCTCCAGTAAGCAGATGGTTAGAGTACGGCTTACTTTGGATCTTAGACTATATGACACACAATCATATTTTAACGAAGTTTAAGTTGTATAGTATATGGTATTATTTAAAAAGTACATATATACATATAACTCACCCGTTACAAAATCCTATTAGTGTATTCCATTCCTAAATAATTAAATTTATAGAAAAAGAAATAATTTTTAAACTACATTAACAAGTATTTTTTATATTATTATACAGTTTTTACAAAGGTAAATAAAATTATATGTACATATTACTAGCGACTTACCCTTGCTTCGCTCCGGTTCGTCCCTAGTTACGTTTTACCCTTTAGTATAGATATCTCAGAGATGAGATATTTTTCCGCGGTTAAAAGTATCCTATAAGTTCCTCGGATAATCAGCTATCATCATACAAATTTCATCAAAATCTGTCCAGTGGTTTTCTCGTGATAGACAGACAGACAAAAAATCTAAAAACTATAGATTCGGTCTCTGTAAAGATAATAATGACTATTTCAATAAGATTTTCCAAAAAAAATTATTATTATTAATCCCTTCAATACAAGGGGGATCAGACCATAGTCTAGCACGCTGGTCAAGTACAGGTTGGCGGACTGCACATGTCTTTCGAAAACTTGCTAGGTTTTCTCAGACATACAGATTTCCTCACATCCACTTGGTTTTCCTTCACCGTAAGACAAATGATTTGCACATGAAAATATTAGAAGTGCGAGACCCGCTTCACTCGGTTTCCCATTCGACCGCGTTACCACTGGCCTATTACTGTCACTAGGTAAGATCATAAAGTAATCTAATACAGATCCGGCTTATTTACAATTCTATTACAGGAGATAAACGGGAGTCTCACTAAAACTCAGTAGCCATACTTCATTGAGAATTAATAGCTTTATATGTACGCTCTCAGCGTCTGCTCCACTCTAATCGTACTTGCCGCATATGAAATGAAGTAGACAAATTATATTATAGAGTATGGTTCTTAATGTATCGATTCTTCTTTGATGTGCATTTGAAAAATGCACTAAATGCTTTTATTTAGTATACCTATTTTGAAATATTTCCTTACTAAAAAGATAGATTGACTTTATTGTGGAAATGTAAACAAAATCTAAGAAAGTATTAATTATTACATTATTTGTCTTTTCAAATATATATAGCATTATCGCGAAATAGGTACATTTATCAACACCCTGTGTATTTGTCATTTTTTTGGCGACTCAATTTTGTTTAAGCAGTTTAAGTTATATTTTATTTTATTACATATAGAAAACCAGCCTCTGAACTTATTATAAATTTGTTTTTCAATAACTAAATTATTCATTTATAGATAATAGAAAAATAGTACCATATTTAAAAAAATATACCTAGTGTATTACTTTACTATAAAAGTCTAGTGGATTAATCAAAATTATAATTCTCATTTCTCAGAGATGAGATATTTCCCCGAAGTAAAAGGTGTCTTAATATATCTTGACCCGGATAATAAAAACCTATCATCATACCAAATTTTATCAAACTCGGTCCAGTGTTTTCTCTTGATGAGTTCCCAGACAAACAGATAGACAAAAATTCTAAAAACTATAGATTCAGTCTTCGTATCGGTAATAATGATTATTTCAATAAGATTTTCCAAAATATATTTTTGCTGTACAAATTCGACTCAGAATTTTATAATATGTATATATAGATAACACTAGAGAGGAATAAAAAGTTAGTTAAATGACAAATTTAAACAAATTAGTACAAAGCTATAAAAGTAAATCAAATTAATCCAATGGAACAGCTGTTTGTATGTTTTAAAAGTTCTTGTAACTAAGTTTTTTTTTTAATTTTTATTGCAGTTGACAAATAGTACAAGTGTAGAATACCCTACAGGAAAATACTTGAATTTTATATGTAACTAGTATCGAGCAGTTCAAACGGTTGATATTTTTTTATTAAAAAAATATTTCAGTGTTAAATTTTCAGTTAGAAAAACCCATTGAAATAAAAAAAATTACACTGAACAATGCGTGTGACTTAAATAATGGTGAAATATTTTTTTTATAATCTTTATTGCTTTTGAATTAAGTCTATATCAATATTTTTTAATATAATTTCTTTTTGATTAAGAAAATAATTATTAAAGAGTGCGAGTATAGGTAGGAAAAAAGTAGTTGAAATGCACGCTATTGGTCAGACCGAATATGACGTTAAAGTATTATCATAACAGAGTTTTGTCGCTACAAACTAAAGTCGTTATGTTTGTACGTATGTATAATACTTTGACGTCACGCAAAGGGCGCAAAAGGCGGTTAAAGTATACCTATGTATCGATATGATATAATATTTTAAAAAAATAAACTAAATGTTAGTTTTTTGGAGCTGGATGTCTTTTGATAATATTATCGATGTTACTATTGTATAAAAAATTAAAAAAAATCACGCATATTCCCTATTAGTTTAAATAAGTGGCTTAGCTTATGCATGCCTTCAGAAATACGATTTTTTAATACGGATCCAAATTTGATCAAGATGACTTAAAAAAGTGCACCTACACCATAATTTGCAAATACGATGACTTGTAAAAAAAACATACATAAATAAATTAGTAGTATAATTTAATGCGCTAAAAAAGGAAAATACACCTATAAAGGTTTTTTGTTAAATGTTTTTTTACTATTCATTTATTTTATTCTTGAACTAGCGGCTCACCCTCGCTTCGCTCGGGTTCGTCGCTAGGTACGTTTTAAGTAGAGATAAATAGTTATTAGCCAGTGCTAGCCATATAAATTTCGTTAATTTTTCTGATGTTTTAATACTTATTATCCAATTCCGGACTAAGAGAAATCCAAAAATTCAAATATCATAAAAATTGGTACAGCCGTTCTTGAGTTTTATGTCACGTCACACGGGAACGCAATCGAACGGGATAAAAAGTATCCCATGTCCGTCTCCTGGGTCTAAGCTACTTCCCCACCAATTTTCAGCCAAATCGGTTCAGCCGTTGTTGAGTTATAAATAGTGAAATACTTTTATATATATAGATATGGTATTGATGTTCTAAAATCTAAAGCTTGAAATAGATTCCAAATAAAGTAACTCCCTCATATGTCATAAGGGCAATAAATAATGTCAAAATTGCTGCCTTTGTTCTTTTAACGTATAATAGAGTTTAATGCTGCCATTATAAATAACTGCTTTGATTGAAATAGATTTTTATTTAATATATTATATGTGTGTGTAATAATAGTCTTCAACCAAAAAAGATTATGTGGAAACGCAGAATTAAGAGCTCAAACTTTATCTTTCGATCTTTTTGACAGATTAAAATAACAGTAGCTTAGAAGAAACGTTTATGACTGTTTTAATAATTATTATTTAGCCTTCATAATGAAAAAGGCATCCTAATAATACGTTTATTTTAAGTTTTATATTTGAAATAATTAATTAATATGAAATACTTAAGGCATAGCGTATTAGTTAAAGAATGAATGAGGAATAAAGGTTCCGTTTTAGCTATTTGGCTACGGGACCCAAAAAAAATTACAATCATACTCAAATATACCGCGTAACATATAGGTACATGAAAGAATATGCAATTGAATAAATACCTCCTCCTCTTTAAGTCGGTTAAAAACCGTTCAGTGGTTATTATAATTTATCTAATAACAATCAAAGCCAAGTTATATTATAAAATTATAATAATAATTATCATTAAAAGAAAATAAATTGTGGTATAGATTAGGAAAAATTTGCCATTTGTTTCCATCAGCAATCATATGTGTAATATATGCCCTACAAGTAAGCCAAGTATTTATTCAAAGGTTAAAACTATTTCTTTATGAATAAGATATGAATTCAGAATCTTAGATCACAGTCTAATTATTTATTTAAAACCTAACTCTGTTTTCTTTATCGTGTTTAGGGAACATAATCTCACTTCACTAACCTCTCTACTGTGACGGTACGTTAAGCAATATCTCAAGCTTTACGATAAACGTTAAGGTGAGGATATCCGAAGCTGTAAATATTTTTCTGCTCAGGACTCACTGAATGTGCAGTGGGAAAAAATCATATACTCGTAATTTAGATTTTTATAAAAAGATAGCGTATAAAATCTCTTTAATGCGGCTATCATCCTTACTAATATTATAAACGCGGAAGTTTGTATGGATATATGGATGTTTGTTATTCTTTCACGCCAGAACAGTAGAACGGATCTGGATGAAATTTGACACAGAGATAGATTATAGTCTGGAATAACACATAGGCTACTTTTGATCCCGGAAAAATATACGATTTCCGAAGGATAGATTTGTTTTTGTTTTTCTAGAGGCGAACCTGAGCTAAGCGAGGATGAGCCGCTAGTCTAATATATAAATGTCTCGGGTCACGGTGTTTGTGGTCGCACTCCTCCGAAACGGCTCGACCGATTTTAATGAAAGGTTTTTTGTATATTTGGTATGTATGAGAATAGGTCGTAAAGTATTTTTCACCCTTCTACCCCCACCCCCATTCATTAATCGCGATTTTAGTATTTTTGTATGAACAATATTATATAAATATGTACATACCATGGACGAATTAACCACTGGACCAGACATATAAGCGGACGTACCTTTATCGGTCATGTCAGTAACCAGGGAATTTTAGCCTAGGTCGTTTGTTTTTTGTGTCAGTCTCAAGCACTTACTTGTCAACAAAACATTTCCCAAAAATGACTAAATGTTCTGTTAAATGGTGTAAAAACTATAACGGCGGAAGCAGCACTATTTCTTTTCACTTGTAAATACATTATTTTATTACATTTATTGTTATTTATCACAAAATTTAATTAAATGTAAAATAAAAATGTCATATTATCCATATATGTTAAATATAGTCGATATTTCTATGTATTGTTAACATCTGACAACCATCATAAACGGGCTGGATCACAGAGTACATTGGTATATACTAGGAATAGAGGTCGCTCTCAATGCATATTATTGGAAACACGAAAGTAACGCCCTCTGATATCAAGTTTTGATACTACTCCCCGAGTATATATATGTATAACTATCTGTAGACTGTACTATACGCTATATTTTTAGAAGGTATATAATACTTTTTCACTAGCAGCAGCCCAAATATTTGAATAAAGGAATTCGTTTCCAAATATTGAGACAAAAACTGCTAGTGAAAAAGAAAATTAATATTATAATAACAAAAAGTAAAACAATTTTTGATATTTTAATTATTTATTTTTCTTTTATAACATTTCTTAGCCAATCTTTTAGCGTTTATTTTAAACAAGTCCTCATCATCGTCGCACTGCCTTTTGTTTGACAAAATATTATTTATTTCTTTGCAGTAATTATATATAAAAAAACTACAGGATATTTTTATTAAATAAAATATTAGTTTTTCTTTGTGCACTTCACAATTAATAAAATCAAAATTTATGTGAATAAAAATCATTGTTTTTAATAATTGTAGTAAATTATTCTTATGTAAATTTTCTTTTATTATTGACATATTTATATCCTGCAGATTTGATACACAATTTATAAGACAGTTACTAGGGCAGCAAAGCCACTTTTTATTTGCGTATTCCCTATATCTTAAATAACCCCATTCATTTTCAGAACATAAATCTTTTTTACATATTTCACACCCCTTGAAAACTTTTTTTTTTAAATATTTAAAAAAATATCCCGTTACATATTGTAGTCCTCCTACTTCGCGGGGGTCATTTTTTTCTTCAAGGGGTGTGAGTGTAATATCTGGGATTTGTTCTATTTCGCAAATATCGTGTCTTTTGCTGCCCTTGCCACCGGTGATGAGAACTTGGTGCAAGACGAAACAATCGTCAATTTCACAATTTGCTCCTGGGGCATGAACACTAGATATGTTATTTACCAAGAGGGTAGAAAATGCGGCCTCGAATTTTTCCGCAGTTGGATTGACGTTGCGGCATCCGTGGCTTCTTGTGGACCCAAAAAAATTTTCTAGCGGATCCTGATTTAGATGCCGCAACCACACCGATGTGACTCCATATTTATTTTCCAAATTTTTTAGCAAAAGTTCTATCCCATCTAGTGTCCATACCCAATTATTTATAGTAGGAACTGATTCTTTTTTTGATGTTGTAGAGTTAATAAATTTCATTGTTTTAATAATTTCCTTTGATTCCTTCCACATATTATGATGCACAGAAGTCGGTGTTGCCGGTCCCAGCAGTGGTTTCCCGTGCTTCTTTCTTTTGCCAAAACTGCCATTGACTGAGTCAAATATTTTATCAAATAATAAGAGGATATCAGCAGTTTCCTTAGATTCTTCAGGAAGTATACCCTTATCTGTAAAATAGGAATAATCGATTTTACAAAGATTCAATCAAAAGTTTTAAGTCAGAAAAACGCAGAAAATATAGAAAATTAAAACAAAATATTTTGCATTATTTTTACCTGCAAGATATCCCATATTTGATGCAACAGTTTGACTGAACAGCTGGGTGGCATATTTTACTTTCATCCGCGGTACTTTGGTTGGATCACAATGTGACTCCGTCAATTTGGGGATCAGTCGTATTCCTTTGTACCCCGGATTCTCTTTATATAATAAATTTATATGTGACCATTTTGCAATTTTTGTAACATTTTCTTTTTTATAGGTAAGGTTTTTTGTAAGTAAATTGTTTCTTGTGCATTTCATTAAATGTGGTGGATCATATATAGGAACAATCTCTTGGTCATTTATTAATATTATATTTTCCTTAATATGCTCTTCTCCCCTTCTCAGTAAGGTGCCACGTGTTTCTTCTAAAAGATATTTTATACAATTGACATTATTTGTGCCCTGATCACACACGGTTGCCACAACTATAAGGCCAGCTTCTTGCAATTGTGTGACTACAAGTTTTAGCTGTTTTGCTATTTCAGGGCCTTTTGTTGCAATTATTCCATTGTAATAATTATAAAGATCATTTTATTTCAACACATAAATTACACAAAATCAAACAATAATGTTTTAGCACTAAACTTCTGGGTTGGCGATTTGTAATAAAACACTTTACCACTTGCACTAATTATTTTACTTTCACGATCCAACACTCACTTTTTCACAATTTGCAATCACTTTTTCTTTTTCCTAATTTTACAAATGTTTATTAATAACTGAGCAATATTAGGACAGTGTCACATTTTTATAACTACCCGAGACAATCAATTGCCAATTAAAATAGTTCAATAACAGAATCAACAAAATCACTTTATTTAATTAAATTAGCTTAATATTTTTTTCATCTTTACAAAATAATATTTATTATATATTAATGGAATATACACCCGATATTCATTTGTTTATTAACATTATTATAGGCCAACAGAATGTTGCCATCAATGCCATCGTATTTATATAAATCAAATTAAAAAATAATTATTATTTGACACATTATTATTGCCTCTTTAATTCATTTATTTTAATTTACTATAATAAATACAGATATTTTAAATTAAAAGATGTAAAATATGATGACTATGCTAACCAATGTCTAAAATGTCATTCATTGGTTCATCGATATATGTATTTTATCGATTACGTTCAAACACTAGAAATATTGTATTGTGTATCAGTGTTTATAATAATGTAATAAAATCTTTGTGTGCGTTATGCGTCATTTGGTTGAACTAGTTTTCATACATTTGTATTTTATGTCAGGTCCAGTCTCTAATTCGTCCATGGTACATACATAGGGAATGCATACGAACCCGAACGAAGCGAGGGTGAGTCGTTGTATAACATAAAGCCGTAGCCGCGGGTTCTGCTAGTTCGTTATAAAATTTTGCCTCACTTTCATATACTTTTCTACTATCTAAAAGTTTAAAACGGAAACAATTTACCAGTACATTGTACTGATAGTTACGGCTTAAAGCTTTAACGTTGATGTTATGCCTTAATTAACAAGTTAAAGTAATGTAACTAGAACAAATGAAGCAATTTCCTTCTAATTTATATGTCCTTATCAAGTCGCAAGCACGCTAGTATTTTATTTAAGTAAATAAAACTTCTATGCAGGCAAATAATATCCTAATATTAGTATAAGAATTGTTTGTTAGTATGTAGAGAATAATCTTTGAAAGTACTATACGATTCTTATTTCTTTCATTCAATGTGCTTAGAATTTTTTTTACTCAACATTAAATGATGACAATCATCAGTTTAAAAGAAGGCTCAGTTTTAAGAAGAACTGAAGAAACAATCTCAATAGTTTATAGTAAGTATACTGCACAATCCAAGGATAATACAGTGTATTGCATTCAGCACTTTTTAACGTCCCGCTGCTAGGCATGGCCCTCTCTTTAGGGGGATCAGATCATAGTCCACCACGCTGGCCAAGTGCGGGTTGGCGGACTTCACATGTTTTTAAAAACTTGTTACGTTCTCAGATATACAGGTTTCCTCATGATGTTTTCCTTCACCATAAGACAAGTGGTCATCATGTTGGAAATGCTTTGCACATGAAAATATCAGAGATGCAAGAACCAGGATTTGAACCCGTGTCACTCGGTGTCCCAATCGAGCACACGTTACCATTGGTCTACCACTGCCAATAACATAGGAATAATACAGACTAATTCTAAAAATCAAACCACGAGTCCTGAGAGATATATTGTGCTGTAGACGTGCTCTTTTAACGACGAATATGTCGAGCTGAATGCTCAAACGTGATGATGTTCTCCTAGCCGATTCCGGCCACGCCAATCTCAATGAGATTAGCCAACTGCGCAGGAGATATTATAGTGCTCAAGTGTACGCGCAGACACAAGTGCACTCTCTATTCCTATCACTCTCATACTCCGGTGGGACGACCACTCGACACGACCGGTGAGAGTTAAGGCGCAGGACCGACGGCTTTACGTGCTCTCCGAGGCACGGGGGTGAAACACCGCCAACTTCCCAACTCCGGGCTGTTACTGAGACTTACTATACAGGAAGACTCAATAACTAAACTTGGCCCGACCCGGGACTCGAACCCAGGACCTCCGGGTGTGCAACCGTACATGCTAGCCACTACACTACCGAGGCAGTTAATCGCTAATAAAGCTCAAACGTACGAGTTATGTGGCTCTTACTAACAAGGCAATTTCCTGTTGAAGCAGTCTCAATAAATTAAAAAGCGACGTAGTAAAACTAAATTGATTATAATTAATGAAATGTATATGAAATGAGAGGTTTTTGATTTCATTTTTATTAGATTAAGATCAATTATTTCAATTAACTACAAATACTTGTTTTATTGCTCTTTGAACTTAATTACTTGATCGCTATTGTTAATGTATAGTAGAACGTAGAGAGTAGCTAAATCTAGGTTAAACTAGCCACATCTGGTTTGAACAAATAGGCTATTTAATTTTATGGTTTACAACCTTGTACTTATGTTTAAGACTAGCGACTCACCCTTGCTTCGCTCGGGTTCGTCCCTAGGTACGTTTTAACGATTAGTATATAATAGATAGACTATATACTGTTATATACATATATTATTTTTTTCTAACTTAAACTTGACGTATTGTTGTAGATGGTAGGTCCACCACTATTGAAAGTAATCCGAAGTAGTGATTCCCATAGAAAATAACCAGTTCTGAACTTTTCGATTTTCCAGCTGTTTTTATGGATTTTTCCTAAAAACTATTATATTTAAACCATCTCTGATATATCTCCAACAAAACAAAAAAAAGAATGATTCAAATCGGTTCAGCCGTTTTTGAGTTTTAGCGAGACTAACGATCAGCAATTGATTTTTATATATAGATTATTTCATCCATTATTCTTCAGATAGATATAAAAACATGCGCTTAAACATTTTCTTTTTTTGAATTTTTGTAAACTGTATTGATTGTGTGTTTGCCACTTTCTGATTAAGATGTAATTTAAAACGGAAATGGCTTATATTCTGTATAGTGTATCCATACTAATATTATAAATGTGAAAGTGTGTTTGGTTTTTTGTCCTTCTTTCACGTCGAAACGGAGCGACGGATTGGCGGATTTTTTGTGTGGAGATATTTAAGAGGACTGGAGAGTGACATAGGCTACTTTTTACCACGGAAGATTATCTTATTCCCACGAGAAAACAAGTTATAAAACAACTAAAAAAATATTTATAATCAGAATTATTTGAAACTTAGTATAAATTCTCTTCAATACTATTAAACGAATACGTGTTTTAACATTTTTCTAAATTCATCTCGAAAGGAGATAAAGTAGTTGATGAAAGTTTGTATGGAACCTATATTTTAGAGTCTAAGTCTTAGTGCGAGCGAAGTCTCGGGTTCTGCTAGTAACTTATAAGCCACGCATTGTATTATTCAAGCGTACCTGCCGTACGACTAGAGTTGTAAGCAATAATAGTGAATATTAAGATCTTTTTACTCAATGAAAAGATGAAGATTATAATAACTACCATACATTCAAGTAGAATTTACATAATATCAAAAAATCCAAGTTCTTTTTTTGAAGTTTATACACTTCTTATTAATAAAATATGTATGCTCACTTCAAAAATATTTTAAGTTTTTTGTTCCGCCTTTAGAAAATATTGGACTTATAACATTGATAGTATACAAAGATATTTCGTAGAAACATACAGAAACACACATATCTATACATCTATACTGAGTACTTTATAATCAAGTCAGTTAAAAAAACTTATTCTAGTCGATGTAGTTGAAAAGAAAACTGTAACTAATAACAACAAAAGCGAAACATGAAAACTATAGTAAAATATAGAAATACAGTGTAAGCCAAGTTTTAGCTGCATTGTGCGATAACAAAAGTAAACTTGGAAATAGTGTTGTAGGAACATAACTTTTAATAACAGTCAAGATTACTTTTTGTCCGACTTTCAAAAAAGATGACACTCTATTGGGGTGTTTTTTTTAATTTTACGCTATGTCTTCGTCGCTTCGTGACTAAGTTTAATGTTTTTTTTATTCTATTTAAAAGAGGTTAGGTAGTTTTAAGATAATAAAATGAGTTCATGGAGAGTGTGACCTCACTGTACATTTTTTTTTATTAAAACATAATAGGGAATATGCGTGTAATTTAAATTAAGGTTTTTTTTGTAATCTTTATTGCTCTTGAATTAAGCCTATATTCATATTTTTTAATATAATTTCTTTTTGATTAAGAAAATAATAAAACAGGTGGGAAATTCAAAGCAGTTGAAACGCAACGCCATTGGTCAGACCGAATATGACGTCAGAGTATATTATAATTGAACGATTAGCGATTTTGTTGCTAGAAATTGAGTCATAATTATTATTCTATATATATAATACTGTGACGTCAAGCCAAGTACGCGAAATGGCGGGTGAAGTATCCATATCGGTATGATATATTTTTTTTATACTAAATTTTAGTTTTTTTGGATCTGGATATTGTTTTACCCGACTGTCCAACGCTAAGGAGGTAATTATGCAGTCGGAGACATACATCTTGCGGCAAGGATGAAATGTGTATGGCTTCGACTCC